AAATGGAAGAGAAATCAGTGAGGAAAGGCAGAGGGCTGCAAGGAAAATGAATGAGGGAAAATCTGAATTGATATTTCACTGACCGACATTTTTGTGCGGAGCATTTCTTTCTGTAAACTTATGAATCAAGTGTCTTGGAGACGCGCATCACAGGTTGAGAACGCGTGTTGTTGCTCTACGACGCCATTCTTCACGTTGGTGACAGGATCTCAGGTTGGAGTAAGAGCAACATGTCGAGACAGTTTTGTCAAGCTCTGTAACGTGCAGTTTATTTGGAAGACTTCGAAAGCTTCCAGACAAGCAAAACGCCGATAACCTCCATTACTCACCCTGACATGATTTCGATTTAATAAAAATCAATACCACTTTTCTTGTCGGCGTGAAAGGGGATCAGACAGTGTAAACTTTATGAAGAAGAACACTGTGTCACCACCGAAGAAAGCAATCAAACGCTTCGGTGCAAGAAACATGAGCGTACTCCCGTCTCGGTATGAGGGTAATGCTCCAGAGACGCCCTCAAAAGTATGGGCTAAGTCAGCTTTTTAGAACAAAGGAATTACGTACAATTTCACCTATATATATATCACTAAACTGTTTTCGTTTTTTATTTGAGGAATGAGTCGAGACTGAATCCCTTGGTACCATGGTATCCATTGAGCTTACTGTACCAGTCCCTGATGACAAATGAGTATGGATTATTGGTGGGATGTTATCTGTCAGGGGAACCGAAGTGCTCGGAGAAGAACCTGCCCAGTGCCACTTTGTCCACTATAAATCACACATGGTCAACCCTGGCATTGAACACGAACCTCGGCATTAAGAAGCGGACGATTAACAGCCTTAACTAATTAAACGGAGAAGATACCTTGTTGAACAGCTACTAGTTGCTCAGATAGTCAAGAAATCCTCGCATTTTATGGAACTCGAAATTTCGTTACGGTGTTCGAAGCATTTTTCCATTAGTCCCTACCCACGGCCACATGAATCCAGCCCACTCTCTTCCATCCTGGTTTATGAGATTAATTTTCTTATCTTCCTCCCTTCTAAGACTAGGTCTTTCAAGCTGTCTCATTCCTTCAGATATCCCTAGCAAAATATTGTGTTCAGTTCTTTCCCGTGACTGCATGTAGCGAGGAGTACAAATTATAAAACTCCTCATTAGGCAGTTTTCTCCGATTTCCGCCGATTTAGTTCCAAATATTTTTCTCAGTAGCCTGTTTCCTAGCTACATGTTTCCTTTAATGTGAGAGTCCAGACTCCATACCTATACAAAACAACAGGGAAATTAAAATCTTTACATATTTACGTGGAAAATGTGAAGGTAGAAGATTCTGAGCCGGTCACGGTAGCTGAGCGGTCTAAGGCATGCACTGTCTTCGCTGGCTTGGAAACCAGGATCGTGGGCTCGAATCCCACTTAGGGCATGGATGTTTGTGTGCGTTTTTCTGTGTTTGTGTACAGGTAGAGGACTTGCGACGAGCTGATCACCCACCTAAGGAGTCCTACTGAATGTGTAAGATCGAGAAAAACCGAAGTGAACGGAGAAGTTCATGGAGGTAGGCCTAGGCCCACTGGGGCTGTAGAGCCAAGGAAGAGGGGGGAAGAAGATTCTGAACTGAATAGCGCAGATCTGCCCTCTCCCATTGCCTACGCTTTCTTTCCTTGTAAGTAATTTTAAGATCTCCGTTCATAATTCCTTCTGCAGAACTCAAGTGTAAACTGTAATATTTCTGTAAGCTTGTTGAATCATGTGGTACATATACTTACCACTACGCTTTAAATTGCTCAATGAATCTCGTATGTCCTTTTGCATACTTACTTATGAATAAATCACAGTAACCATTGACAGCGGGTATACTCAGGGAAATGCTGATTTAATGTGTGACATTGGGGTGATTATTATTGAAACTGTATTTTTTTTTTCCATTGGCGCTACAGCCCTCATTTGGGCCTAGGCCCACCTCCATGAAACTCTCCGTGAAACTGTAATTAGAGATGAGAATTATTCATGTGGAAGACTTCGTCTATTTGTTGCATTTGTCATCATTCAGAATAATGTGTAGACTGAACACTAACACTGGGGAAGAATATACGTAAATTGTACATGGGAAAAACAGAGTGTACAGTGGTGATATCGAAATAATAACTATTAGCCAATTTTATAGTGTATCTATCATTGTTTGAGGATGAAACTGGCAGGGCATGTAGCACGAATGGAGGCGAAGAGAACTGTATAAAGGATATTGATGGAAAGCAAGAATGAAAGAGACCACTGGGAAGATCAAGGCGTAGATGGGTGAACAATATTAAGATGGATCTTGCAGAGATAGGATGGGATTGTATGAACTGGATCGATCTGGCTCAGGATAGGGACCAGTGGAGGGCTCCTGTGAACACGGTAATGAGCCTTCAGGTTCCATAAAATGCTGGGAAGTTCTTGTGTAGCTGCACAATTTGCGGCTTCTCAAGAAGGGCTCAGCTCCACTTATTTCTCCTCTTGCTCCCACTTTGGAGCGTAGGGCCGATTTCTCAGTTTCATGATCATTTTACAGATGGTAGGACTTCTTGGACGAGCGATCAGCTCGTCGCAAGGCCTCTACCTAAACACATGACAACACAAACACATAATAAACGCATACACACACCAAACATCCATGCCTTAAGTGGGAATCTAACCCACGATCCTAGCGTCCGAAAGAGCGAAGACATTACATGCCTTAGACCGCTGGGCTACCGTGACCGTTATCAGCTCCACATAGTTAGTTCATTAGTTAGTCTATCGCTTTTATTTAGTATGTGATGACCGAATCACTGAAGCAGTGTTCTTATACTTCGGTCAAGTTTTGACTGAAAGAAATTTCTACTGGTTATTGGTGAATTAGACATTGGCTATCATGAAGAAAAATGGAGTTCAATAAATTTCAGTTGAAATTTAAGCGAGCTTTATGCTAGTGGTAAATATTTAACGGAATACGACGAACATGTTTTCTGACTCTACAGCATGATAACTGTAGTTACATTAGCTTTCCAACAACGGATTTGCATCTGCAATAAATGAACATCGAGGTCAATGAAGTATGCAAAATAACAAGGAATACTATTTGGAAACCAATGTGAATTCGATTTGAATACATAATTCTATTACTGTTGTAATGAATTCATTTCAGAATGACGCTATGATGGGGATCGTGTCTTATGGCTGCATGGCGCGTGGCCTGTTATGGATGACGACCACCAGGGGACTTCTCCCCTAGCGTGATGCATGGAGGCTCGGAACGGAAATCTCTGAGATTCACTGCATGTGTTGGAGATCCATTTTTCATCTTGGCGAGGAAATTAGAGAGGAGTGTCGGAGAACTAGGTGAAAAATTATCACTTTACATCTTCCATGTCTTCCGGCAGAACACTGCTGACTCCTTAAGGAACCTACGCTAGTTGATGTTAACTTTCTAGAAAAACTCCAGAACATGCAGCGCGTATTTTGGGGCAGCGAGCGCCAAAATTCGCCGTGATGAAATTATGACTTCTTCATGTTTTCTTTTTAACTGAATATTATTTGGATCATCAGTCCTTTAGTCCATTAAAACGCAACGGTTTTGTATGCATCAACTGCTATAAGATAAAGAAAAATACAATGTGCTGACAGAGTCTGTTCATGTGTTTCATGTTATTGTTGAAAAACAGCGATTGTTCCAAACAGCATTAACCAACTGGTGTTGGCCGTGCGGTTTGTTTTCTTTTCTTTATTGCTAGTGGGGTGGGACTAACTCCCTTGTACTGTGGCCACCTCTGGCCTATTGTACCAGTCCCAGACGATAGGTGAGGGTGATTGTGGAGCAATTGGTCGAATGAAGATTGGCAGGGGAAACCGAAGTACTCGGAGAAAACCTGCCCCAGCGCCACTTTGTCCACCACAAATCCCACTTGACCAGACCCGGGATCGAACCCGGGCCGACGCGGTGGGAAGCCAGCGACTAACCGCTTGAGCTATGGCGCGGCCAGCTCAGGCGGTTAGTCGCCGGATTCCCACAGCGGCGGCTCGGGTTCAAGCCCAGATGAAGTCATGTGGGATTTGTGGTGGACAAAGTGGCGCTGTGGCAGGTGTTTTTAAAGGTAAAGTTGCTTAACAAATTAAGCACTACGTCATGAAGACGTATGGGGGAGTGGATGTATAGATCCACAATTTCTTGACCTCGGGACTAGCTGGAGGTGAGTGGTCAGCGTCACGCCCCTGCCGCTTTACCCCCGGGGAAAGAGCCCCTGGTACCCATCGAATAGGAGGCCGAGTGGACCACAGAGCAGGTCTTGACGATACCTGGGGCAGGTTTTCTCTTAGTAATTCTGTTTCCCCTGCCAATTCGCGTTCCACCGACTGCTCCACAATTAATATCACCATCTATCATCTGGGGCTGGTGCAATAGGCCCAAACAGAGGCCGCAGTACCAAGTGGACTAAGTCTCACCCATAAGAAAAAACAAACTGGTATTTATATTGGAAAAACCGTATGTTTACTGTGAGGTAGGAACTGATTATTAAAATACTATTTACTTGAAATTCGTACTTCAGTCTTGTTAGAAGTGTTAGAATGACGCGCAGGCAATGCCTGTGAACCTTCTAATGAAAGGATTCTCTTTCTCCCTGCCCGCAACGAAGTGTCTCTCACTTCTCTCGTGGTTTCAGACTTCAGTAAAGCATTCATTTTTCAGGCAGTCACACCGACCAGTTGCCTACGCTGAGGAAAATCGAAATTTAGAAGAAACGGAGAGATAAGAAAAAAGATGACTACAACGACATATCATATGCAGCAGTTTACAAGTGAGTGACACGTTTTTCTGAATGAAGAGAAAATGTCACTGGCGAAGAGAGATCAAGGTGGCCAGTAACGGCAGAACTGAAGAAAACATTGCAAAACTCGTCAAATAGCGTGAAAATCGTCGATCGACTGCTAGGAGCATAGCAGAGCAAGCGAACTTCGACAGAGAAACAGTTAGGAAATCATTAACCTGAGGAATGTGTGTGCAAAAATGGTCCCAAAGGACATGCTCATACTGCTCTGCACGTGAGGGAGTTTTTAGCTAGCAAATAAATAACTGTGTTGGAACACCCTTCCTATTCACCGGATCTGGCCCCCAATGACCTTTTCTATTCCCGAAGATAAAGGAAATATTGAAAGGAAGGCATTCTGATGTCACTGATGACATCAGGAGTAATACGACTGCAGCTCTGAAGGATATTTCACAAAACCAGTTCCAAAATAGTTTTGAAGGGTGGACTAGGCGCTGGCATCTGTTCATAGCTTCCCAAGGGGAGTACTCTGAAGGCGATCACAGTGATATTCAGCACTGAGGTATGTAGCAGTCTTACCGCGATGAATTTGCAAACTTTATTATCAGACCACGTATGATACTTTGTTAGCTGTGTGAGCAGCAAATCTCATGAAACGCTCAGAACATTTTTCATAGTTAAAAATTCAAGCAGCGCTCATGAATATGTATATTATAGCTATACATTCCATTGTTCTCGTGATAACAATCATTTTAGCAGTCTGAGGTCCAAGCAACCGAGACTAATTATAACATTTACGAAAAAGTGGTTCTATGAACAACTGAAGTGAGTACTTTAACATAAACTCGACGTTCCTCTTCACATCCATTCTTTATCGTCCTTAATTTACTCAGTCTGTGTGAAGTGTTCTGCAGAAGTGCACAGTTAATTCAATATACATTTTGTCTCAAAAATTTTCCATACTTATATTTTTATAAAAAGTATTTAATAAATCAATTCCCACGTCATAGAAAACGTACTACATCTCCATTACAAGACCTAACCGTCAATACTGTTTAGGGAAATACTGCTGTTTATTTTAAGAATCATGAACATATGTACTTACTTACTTACTCATGGAGCTGAGCCCTTCTGGAGGAGCCGCCAATTCTGCAGCTACTCAAGAATTTCCCAGCATTTAATGGAACCCTAAGGTTCATTACCGTGTTCACAAGAGCCCTCCACTGGTCCCTATCCTGAGCCAGATCTATCCAATCCATACCATCCCATCCTATCTCTCTAAGATCCATTCTAATATTGTCCACCCACCTACGCCTTGGTCTTCCCTGTGGTCTTTTTCCTTCTGGCTTTCCCACCAATATCCTATACGCATTCCTCGTCTGCCCCATTCCTGCTACATGCCCTGCCCACCTCATCCTCCTTGACTTGATCATTCTAATTATACTTGAAGAAGAGTACAAGTTATGAAGCTCCTCATTATGCAGTTTTCTCCAACCTCCTGTCACTTCATCTCTCTTCGGTCCAAATATTCTCCTCAACACCCTGTTCTCAAACACCCTCAGTCTATGTTCCTCCCTTAATATCAGAGACAAAGTTTCACGCCCATACAGAACCACAGGCAAAACTATATTTTTTATATTCTAATTTTTATGTTTTTGGACAACAGACGAGAATACAAAAGGTTCTGGACTGAATGGTAGCAAGTATTACTCGAGTGCAAGCTCCTCTTAATTTCCTCCTGAATCAGGTTTCGATCTGCACTGTAGCATTAAATGATTGGATGATTAGTGAACAATCAATCGGTAAGGGAAGGAAGGAAGCAGAGAAATTGTACAGTCGGGTATAAGTTTAGTGACGTCTCCCTAAATTGTTACCACCAGACTACACGGAATAACATGCCGTATGATATTCATCACATTCATGATCATGAGAACCTGAGATCTCATGATAATGACTTATCCCGCCATTTATATGAAGGGACTGAGGACAACCACGAAAACTTCAGTCGCGAGAACCGGTCTTAAGGCGGAAAATTGAACCGGGCACCTCCCAAAATACTATGCAGGAGAAGTGCGTCACGCTTACCCGCAATGTTCGGTTTTATCTCCTCTTCGAAGTGCAATAAACTGTGGGCCTCATGTAGAATGGGAATTCAGAATATTAAGTAGCAAAGAACACACAAAACTGGGGTAACGCTTAAGAGAGATTCTTGTAAATACACGTCGGCTGTCGTAAAAATAACAAACCTAAAGATAGGTCTACTCTGCATGTCATCTTTCTATTTCATTGAGTATTCGCCAGATCCAATCACGTTTCAAATAAGTGCTTCAGGTTTCGTGATATTTGCGTGCTGTGTTACAGTTTTTTGTTTTTAGGGTGATCCGTATTTCATAAAATAATACAGAGTCAGGACTGAGATTCTAATATTACAGATACGCAAACTTTTAGATGGAAAGCCCCGAAGGAAACTGACAAATTCTGAAATTCAATTGCAGATTGAAAGATATTATTAAGACTAATTTCGAAGAAATCGGGTGTGTATCGATTAAACTGGCTCAGAGCAGGGTTCAACGGAGGAATTAATGACTATAGTAATGAACTCTGGATTCTATAAAAGAAGAATTTCTTGATATTCACTGTTCCGTGAAGATAGATGGGTTGGACAAAATAATTAAAACACTACATATACTGCACACATTTCTTTGTTAATATGGTGCTGGGCCAGCCTCTGCCTTCAACACAGCCGCAATCCTCCTTGCAATGGACTCGTAAAAGTTTTGAACAATCTCTAGCCGAATTTTATACCATTCTTCTTGAATGACACCTTCAAGTTGCTTTAGAGATGTTGGAAGTGAGAATCTATTCCTCACTCTAGTCTCCAAAACTGACCACAGCGGTTCAATGATGTTCAGATCTGGTGATTGTGCTGGTCAGGGATGAAGGTCATGTTCACAGTCATGCTCTTAAAACCATGACTGAACAGTTACAGCTGTGTCGTCTCGCAAAACTGCATCGTTGATCGGAAATAATTACTGAATCATGTGATGCACCTTACCCAACCTGTCCAAGTACCCCCTTGCAGTAATTCGAACGTGAAGGATAATACTGGGACCAACAGAATACTGCACCACGTTATTGTTGCCCAAACCATCACAGAACTAGGCATTCTGGATTGTAGGCAACTCTCGAGGTTCTCCGAAAGTGAAGGTCGACTCATCTGATCATACAAGGCTTTTCCAGTTGTCTGATGTCCAGGTTTTATGGTCGTGACGCCATCGTTTACGCATCTGAGAATTACTTTCAGTAATCAGAGGTTTAGCAATTGCAGCCGTGCCGCAGATGTTTGATTTGGGAAGCCCACGTCTGACAGTTTATGTGGAAACAGGGTCTTCAAGATAAATAACCAGTTCTGCTGCAGTTCACCCATGCTGCAGTAGTTGTGTGATTTTCGAAATAATCCTAATTGTACGATGATCTCTTTCAGTGAATGTTGATTTTCGTCTACTGTTGTTCCCCTTCGTTGATGATGTCTTCGTGCATGTCGTTGACATAACCATAGAAACTATCGCTGTCGAC